GAGGAACTTGAGTGAGAATACTTATAAGATCTCTGTCTCAGTATCCTCATCTGCAAAACATAGTAATAACAGTACTTCCCAGTAGGATTGTTGTGAAGGTTGAAATAACACAACATACAACAAGTGCCAAGAAGAGCACCTAGGCACATAATAAGCACTCCACAAATGTTAACTATTATTATTAGCTTTATGGAAAACGGTCAACCTTGGGCCTCGTTTTTCCACTGCACATTTTGGGGAAGGGATTATTAAACTAATCAATGGTTCTGGAATTTATTTGAGCACTAGATTACTTTGAGAATCTGATGATCACCTGAGAAAACGCTTCCCAGAAACACACAGATAGTCTATGCACATTGTGCACATCTTGCCTGAAGTTTCAGGGCATATATAGGCCTCTGAGGCGAAGGCAGGGGTCCCAGGTCAAAAAAATCTCAGAAAGGAAGGTACAGTAATGGCACTTGGGGTGCTGGAGTCCCTCGGTGGGAACAGCCGGCCGGCCAGCCTAGCAGCACATCACTCCTTCAGGGCTGGGGTGTGTGCATGTGCTTTAAGTCAACAGCTATTTTTAGCTTTGCTATATATGGCCAGGGGAGGAATAAGGGCTATAGGAGGGGGAGGGGGGCCAAGAAGCTTACAACAGGGTTTGGGAGGCCAGAGCTCCTATGCCAGCCCCAGCTTCCCCTTCCCAGGCAAGAGCTGGAGAGCTTAGCCCTAGACCAAAACAACAGCCTGGAGGACAGGGAGGTCCATGGAGGTAGGAATGACAGGAGCTTCCAAGAAGGTGCCAGGCCAAGTCACCTTAGAACAGTGATTTGCAAGTTTTATTGACCATGACCTGGCTGGGTGCAGTGGCTCACGCCTATAATCCTAGCATTCTGGGAGGCCCGGGCAGGAGGATCACTTGAGGTCAGGAGTTTGAGGTTGCTGTGAGCTGTGATGATGCCACGGCACTCTAGCCAGGACAACAGAGTGAAACTCTGTCTCAAAAAAAAAGACCATGACCTGCAGTAAGAAATACATTTTACATCATGGCACGCACATATTATAAATACAGACATTTAAAAACACACATATTGTCTCACACATTGTATGTACATTACATATATTCCCCAACTGAACAATCATTTCAGAAAATAATACTTTATCTTATTCTCTGTGAAATACTCTGTTATTTTCTATCCTATTTTATTCTTTCATTTTGGAAAGTGCAGGTCGTGATTGATGGTGAAATTGATTTCACCATGCTCCAGGTTGGAAAATTGCTATTTTCTTTGGTTTAGAGCAGGCAGACACCTGTAACATTTGACTACAGAAAAGGTGGTAGAATAAGATGCAAGTTTCAGCTTTATCTCCTGGCTGGATGGTACGTGTTGGACCTTCAACTTCTGTGCACTCTGTTTTCTCTCCACCTGGAGTATCATCCTCCCTTCTTGTTACCTGCTAACTCTTGCACCTACTTCAGAGCTTGGCTCGCCACGTACTTCAGGAGCCTAAGTCTTGCTAGTTGCCACATCTTGCTCCTTTGGTCCCCTGTGTGTCCCCCCCTAGCACCCAACACTGTCCTGTAGTGCCATTTCCTGTTAGGTTCGCTGCAAAGGCAGGGAGCTTTTCCATCCTGTTTATTTCCACACCCCCAGTGTAGCTAGTGCTGGCTTCATCATAATCACTCAAGAAGTATTTATTGGATGAATTTAAAATAGTTAATAGCCACTAGTAGCAGCTACCATTTATTGAGTACTCGTTTATCCCATGAGAAACCTTTTGAGAGATTAGGATAGGTGCATTTTATGGACGAGGAAATTAAGGATCAAAGGGATGAAATCACATGGTCAGGCCAGAGCAACAGCCCAAGGCTGCCTGACTCCCACCTGTTCCTAATCACAGGATCTTACGTGTCCACGTTCCCTCAGCGCTGCCCAGGACGGGGCAAAGAGCATAGGGTAGATCCTTAACAAATCCACGGGGGACTGATGACAGGTTGATTAAAGAGATTTTCCGAAGCAGTGGCCATATCTAATTTTGGAGCGTTACACCTCGTGTGTGGCTTGGGAGAGAGAATCTGTGAGGTTTCCAGGGCCCCTGGATGTGGGGCCGTCTCTCCTCAGGGAGAAGTCTGGGACGCAGGCTTGTGACACAGCAGAGCAGCAGGTGCTCTGGTTACCTGGCCTGAAGAGCTCCTGGGCACACCCAGGATAAACCCAGGGCCTGCAACGCCTGTGTGATCCAGCCCATGCCCACAATTTCAACGTCCACTCCTGCCTGTACCTTTCATCCACTCTGCCCCTACTGCCCTGGCATTCATTCCAAGCCCGGTCCTGCCTTAGGGCCTTTGCATTGACATTCCTTCTGCCCGAAAGTCTTTACTTCCTCTCTAGGCCACCCCATCCTGCTTCTGAGACCACCCTATCTAAAAACAGCACCCTCTTCCCTCTCTGATCTGGTCCTTACCTATGTTTTTTTTGTTTTTTTTTTTCCGGTTTATTTCTGTCTTCTCCACTAGACAGAGAGTTCCTTGAGGACCTTGTCTTGTTCACTGCCCCAATCCCTAGAACTTGCTGTGACATAGTACCTGGAACAGAGTAGGTACTCAGTAATATTGGTTGCATGAATGAATGAATCAATAGGTTTTCCCCCTTTTAGACATATTGGGAGATCAGCCCATAGTTCCCCATACTCATCTCAACCCAGAAATATGTGTCTCTGTGACTCACATCCAGACTCCTGACACACACACACACACACACACACACGCACACACACCTCTGGGTTTGGAGATAGCGAATAGGGAAGGGAAGGGAAGGGACATTCAGAGCATGCCTGTAGCGCACCACGTTGCATAGGTAACTGACGCCATGTGCACACTCAAGGATCATCCCCATTTTCTAGGCAGAGAAACTGAAGCTTGCTCTGTGCTGCATCGCCAGTGCCTGGCACAGTGCCTGGCATAAACCTCTGGTGAAATGAACTGCACTGAATTGGAGAGGCTCAGTGAATGGCTCAAGGTCACCAAACTAGCAAGTGGTGGAGGCAGAATTTGTCCTGAGCACGGTGCCATTCCAGCCAGTGCTGTGTAGCAGCCACATGTGCCTGCAGAAACTCCAGGGACACAACCTCGTTAACATCCAGACACATTTGAGGCCAGGCCTTGATCCAGACATCCACAATTGGAAGCCCAGATATAAACTTGTCGTGCACCTGCAGCTGCTCTCGGTGTGCCCAAGGGCCTCAGCCGCAGCGCACCTGGCACCCTGGGCCAGCTGCTGCCTCTTCCTGCCGTTTCTGCCTCTTCCTCGGCCTCACCCCCAGCGCACTCCCAGGCTACCCGCCCGCTTCCTGTCCTTCTGCATAAAGAGGGGAGACTAGTGACAAATATAATATCCTACAAATGCCTTCTAATGCCAAATATGATTTTTTTAATTAGCCAGTTTTGAGTTATCTGTGTGTCTCTTTCCAGTGCTGCACATTAGGAAGACTTCATAGAATTATCTGAGTCAGGAGGAGTCTGCATGACCATTTAAAGCAGGAGCCAGCAAACTTTTCTCTGTAAAGAGTCAGGTAGTAAATACTTTAGGATCTGTGGGACAAGAGTCACAACGAAGGATGTATTATGTAGGGGCTTCCATATAATCACATGTCAAAAACACTGTTCTTTTGATTTTTTCCAAACATTTAAAAATGTAAAACCACTCTCAGCTCACAAGCTGTACAGAACAGGCAGTGGGCCAGTTTGGCCCGTGATTTAGTTTGCTAGCCCCTAATTTGAAGCAACGCTTTTTAAACTGTAACGTGTATAAAAATTGCCTGATAAGCTTATTCAAACAGTTTTCTGTGCCCACACTCAGAGACTCTGATTCAGAAGACCTGGGTGGGACCCCTGAATTTGCATTTCTAACTGGTAGACAGATGGAACTGACCTGTCCACTGACCACATTTCAAGCACTACCAATATTATAAAGCATCCCATTTTATGGATGAAGAAACTGAGGCCCAGATAAATGATATGTCCAAAGTTACACTCAGTGGATGAGACAATGACTGTGCCCTGTCACTTGACTGGGCTGTTTTGCCACAGAGAACTCCTCTCTGATTCCTTAACCCACTGATTACTCTCATACTTCTGAACCTTTGTACCCACGCCTCTCTCTGCCTGGATGGTCCCCACTCCCAGTCTCACAAATGCAACTTTCCCACCAAGATCGAGCTCAGGTGACACCTCCGCCAAAGCATTCCTGGATCATCTCTAATCTAAGTGCTCCTTTCTACCACAGCACTCTACATACTTGGGTAGAATGTGTATAACTGTCTGCATGCCTATCATTGAAGCCAGGGACTGTATGTCTCTTATTCCTCTTTAAATCCAATCTTTCGTTCAATGCCTGGCAAAGAGGAAGTACCACAGAAATACTCAGTGAATCAAAGAAGGCATGGATAGATGATGAGTGGCTAGATAGGTGGATGGGTGGGTGGGTGGCTGAATGGGTGTATGGATGGATGGGCAGATGGGTCGGTGGGTGGGAGAATGGACAGATAGGTGGATGGGTGGGTGGGTAGGTGGATATGTGGATGGATGGATGGGTGGATGGATGAATGAACACTCCTCAAAATCTGTTGCTTGAAAATAATTTTCATGGCAAAGTTGAGACTAGACTCCAATTCTGCTAGAGCATAAGCTAGAGCATATTCCACGGCTATTTATATACCCAATCCGCAAACAGTAATAGTTACATTTTATCGAGTGTGTTTGGACTGTGCATTTGCATGGCAGGCCTTGTACTAAGCACTCCTGCCAATCCTCTCAATAACCTCTTTATTGGCCCCACCTTTACTACAAGAAAATGGATGTTCAGAAAGGTAGAGCAGCTTGCCCGAAGCCACACAGCAAATCACACCCCAGCCCATCGGATTGTGCCAACTGCTCCCCAGCCTTCCTGCCCTCGGCCAGTTCTCCCCACCCTCTCTGGCCCCACCCCACCCCACAAGCCCCAGGCTGGGCTCACCTCCATCTGCGTAGGTCTCGGTGCCATAGCCATCCTGCAGGCCATTGTTCCAAGTGCCCTCATACTTGGCACCGCTGCTGGTGCTCTGCCGGATTCCATAGCGTCCCTTGAAGCCATGTGTCCACTCGCCCTTGTAGAGCCAGCGCCCCTTGGTCTCTATGCCCAGCCCATGTCGTTTGCCCTGGCTCCAGTAGCCCTCAAAGGTGTTTCCGCTGGGCCAGGTATAGACGCCTGCCACTTCAAAGCCAAAGTTCCAGGAGCCCGAGTATTCGCCCTGGCCCTTAGGGCCCGTGCACAGTCCGTGCCCGTGGGCCTTGCCCCCCTCCCAGCCCCCGCAGTACGCCCCGCCATCGTCAAAGTCGAAGCGGCCCCCGCTCATCTCATCATAGCCCCTGACGGCCTCCCGGTCCTCCAGCGTGGGTGCAGAGGGCACCCTCGGGGCTGGGCCCCCCGGACTCACCACGGCGCCCCGGGACGGCGGAAGCAGGATGCCCGCAGAGGCTGACCGAGCCCAGGCGCCAAGTCAGCACCGCGGCGACTGGTCAGTGCCATGCCGGGAGCACCCTCAGTCAGCCCGAGCAAGGCCGCCCGCGCGAAAGGGCGCGGGAACGAAAGACTCCAAGTCCCCGCAAAGCGTCCCGCGTCTGGCTTCCATGGAGTCCGAGGAAAAGCGGTGTGATCCCTTTAAGAAGCAAGGGGTCCCGCCTGCTTCAAAGCGGGGAAGTTCCCCTGGTGGCCCCCGCGCCAGGCTGGCCCCCTTCTCCGGCGGTGGGCGTGCGGGGCTGTGTGTGTGGCTCGGCCGCTGCCCCGCCCCCGTCCCCGATCCTGCCTCCTCCCGGGACGGAAAGGTCAGTGTTGCCCTAACAAGGCCATTGGATCTCAGAAGCTGCTCCCAAAATAACCCCCTGGCCAGCCCGGCCTCCTTCAAAGCGGGAAGGAGGGGTGTTTCAAATCGCCCCGCGGCCGACCCAGGCAGGGGCTGGAGAGAGGAAGGAGGCTGAGGGTAAGTGCAGGCAGCCCCGGGGGACTTGGTGTCTGTTCTTCCCAGGGGTGAGAGCTCCCTTCCACCCTGAGTCCCGGGTCTGCGGGCAGGGAGGAGAGAGGAAGACTCGCAGAACACCCCGTCCTGGAACACTTAAAATCCCCCAGAGCGTAGAGGTTGGCAAATCTCAGCCCCACCACCACTCACATGCCCCGACAGGACCTGGGGCTACAGCGCCACTGCCAGCCCCAGCAAAGGAATCCGGTGACCTAAAGAGAAAGGAACGGGACAGTTTCACATGTGCTTTTGAAAGCAGAGGACAGAACTCAGAAAAAGAGATGAGTTCTGGCCACAGTCTGGAAGATGCACCAAATAGGAGTCCGGCGCTCACACACAACCCCAAATTCCCTCCACCCCAGCAAGGCTGGGAGAACCCTCTGAAGGGAGAGAAGCCCGCCTTTCTGGCTCTGTCTCCAAGACACAGAGCCGTGGGTCGCGTTGGAAAGAGGTCCTCTCAGAAATACTCAGGGATCATAATTTTTTTGTTTTTATTTTCCTTTCCCAGCTCTCTTTCGCTCTAGTGTCCTAAAAGGCTGTGAGGCCAGACTTCCGAAAGCTCTTGGGGCAGGGTCAAGAACGAGGGGCCTGGGTGGATTCCCAGCACTCAGGTTCCCACCAAACTCCAGTAAAAAGAACAAATAAGTCTCCATGACAAGAAGCTGGTGCCTGGGCCAGTGACTGTAAATCCCAGCTGAGCCAGGGTTAACAGGAGTACAGAGCAATTCTGGGAAAGGTGAGAGCCACCAAGAACAGGAAGCTGGGCGGGGGAGCAGGGTGGAGGGAGGTGCACTGAGGGTCAGGCAGAGAAATCACCAGAAATCAAGCACAGAAGGCATAGAGAAAATTAGACTATTATCTGCCTTTAAACTTATCTGACGTTTCCAAATCCCATGACAACTTAGGCCACTTAAAGTCACTGCAGAAGTTTTGCTCTTGTTTCAGAAATGGGTAGAAAGTGTTCTCTCCTTTCCTCCCAGCTCATCACCTGTTCTTATGACTTGATTCTGTCTGTGTTCACAGCCCCCGACCTTAGAGAGTCCCTTCTGTATCTGCATTTCGCCACCAGGTAGAAACACCCAACCTCTTCAGCTCACTGTCCCTGTCTGTTTGCCAAGCCGACAGGCAGCAAATAGCAGTGGATAAAGACTATCATCTGGGTAGTTGGACTCAAACCCTGGCCAGGTCGACTGACAGCCTGCTTGCACAATTCTCTTCTAAGAACACCTCAGCGCTACCCCAGATCATTCTGCTTTTACCACTTCTCACCACGGTCTTTGAAGAATCACAAGTTTCTTTCCAGCTCTGCTGTCAAAGGAAGAGGGAAGAACATCACAACCTGGAAGCTAGAGGAGTCTGAGTCGCCTGAGTTCACTACCCCTATCATTACATGCCGGGTAAATCACTGTAATCCTGTTCTAAGGCTAAGTGGCCATTTCTGTGTCCTAGTAAGCTGTTCCACCTACATAAATTTATCTGCTGTTCATCCACAGCAGCTGCCCATGGTGGTTCTCTACCAAGGGTGGGTACACATAAGAATCAGCTGTAAAACTTAAAAACATAAACAGATCCCAGAGGCCCACCCCAGACCTACAGAATACCTTGTCCTGGGAGAAGACTCAGGCAGTAGCATTGTTTTAAAAAGCTCCTCACTGAATCTGATTCTCATCTCTGGTTAGAAACCACTGTAAGTTTTCAAATCAAGAAACAGTTTCTTAATAACATGTATAAATTCATGAATTCTTTTACTTAACTGTAGGCTGTGTGGGATAGGTAATTTTGGAGTTAGCTATGTGCTCGAATCCCAGTTCTATCCCTAACAAGCTGTGTGACCTTGGACCAATTGTTAATTTTTCTAAGCTGCAAATTTCTCATCTGTAAAAGTACCTACCTCAAAGGGTTGTTGGTATTAAGGATAGTTGTACCTACCTTACATGGGTAGGTAAGGATTACATGAGTTAGTTAATACTGTACAAAGGCTTAGAACACACTAAACACCTAATAAATGTTAGCTATTACTAATATTATTCTCACATAATAAATTTCTTTTCATACCATCATGCTTAATAAAATAATAACCAAAGAGAGAACCTCTCCTGAATATTAAAGATCTTGACATTAAAGCACTCCTTACTGTTCTCAGTACACATTTACTCAGCATTACCCTGTGGTTTCTCTTTTTTTTTTTAGACTGCTAAACTAAGTTGCTGGTAGAGGGACACTTTGACTTTATGAAAGTTTAAGTAAAAGTCTTTGCCGAATTCGATACTGGCCCTACCTGCCCGGCGTTGAGCTCTCTGACAAGCTGCCACTTTTTTGTCCCGCCCTTTAAACCACGGCATTCCAGGAAAAGGGAGACCTCTTGTGGCCATCTGTGCATTGCTACAGATTGCCTTCAGGAAAACCAAGTTCCCAAACCAAGTGGAATTTACTAAACTTGAAATGAATTTTAAACTGTTTTTAAAGGTAGCTATCCCATTCTTTCCTCTTCCCAGGTCTTTTCTTTGGTTCTATTCTTTGGTCATGTCCTCCCTCTATTACCTTCTCAACTTCTCAAGCTTGGCTGCTTCTCAGGGCTCCTATAAGGGAGAACCAAAAACCCACAGCAGAAAGACTGCACAGAAACCCACGCGAGCTCCTCTCAGCCACTGAAGGCTCAACTGAAGAAGGCTGCCCTGCCCAGGAAGCCTTCCAGACAAGATTCCTGGCTGGGTCAGGTACCCTTCCCACGTGCTGGCTCCTCCCCCAAACTGGGAGTTGTTAGAAACCAAAAACAAAACAAAACCAAAAAAATGAACACCTATACGGTAGACACTGTGGTGCATCTGTGCATACCCGGGGCCTGCACATAGTGGGTGCTCCTCATCTGTCCTTCTTAGCAGCATTTGGCAGCTGTGATTCCCTTGTTAAAACGCTTTTTCAATTGACTTCTAGAATCCTCCTCTTGGTTCTGCTCCTGACTTACTGGTTCCTCCTCATTCCTCTGACCTCTGCTCCTTGGAAATGTCCCGGAGCTTAGTCCTCTGACTTCTTTCTCTACATTCATTTCCTAGGTGATCTCCAGTCACATGGCTCCTAAATTTGCATCTCTAGCCCGATCTTCATTTATCCAACTACCAACTCACATTTCTATATATCTCATAAACACTCAGACTTGACAAGAACAAACCAAACTCCCAATTTCCCCTTCCGAATCTGCTCCTCCAGCTGACTCCCAATTTATTAACACCTTTGGAGTAATCCTTAATGTCTTTCTCTCACACCCTATATCCAGTGCATTAGCAAATTCCTTCAAAATAATTCCCCAGGGCACACCGTGTCTCCTGAACTGCCAAGTGTCCAAGCCACCAAACCCATTGCCTGATTTACTGCAAGAGCCTCCTAACTGCCCTCCTTGCCTTCCCTTAGTCTGCACATGGTAGCCAGTGCTCTTTTAAAAGGTAAGTCTGTTAGTCAGGTGTGGTGGCATGCGCACCCCTATAGTCCCAGCTACTCGGGAGGCTGAGGCAAGAGGATGGCTTGAGCCCAGGAGTTTGAAGTTGTAGGGAGCTACGATGACGCCGCTGTACTCTAGCCAGGGCAACAGAGTGAGACCCTGTCTCAGAGGAAAAAAAAGGAAGTCTGATTATGTTATCTCTCCTCTGCTCCAAATCCCCCAGTGGCTCCCTAGCTCACTCAGACTAGGAGCCAAAGCCTTGAAAATGGCCTAATCAGGACCTCCACAGTTTGACCCCACCTCATCTCTCTGACCCCACCTACTCAAGGCACATTGATTATTTCCTCTGCCAAGAATGTTCCTCCCTCAAATCACCCTGTGGCTCACTCCACTTCCTTCAGTTCTCTGCTCAAATGTCATCTTATCACAGAAGCTTCTCTGACCACCCCAAATAAAATAGCAACCCCCTACCCCTACCCTGGCCCTTCCTATCTCCTAATCCTTTCTTTCCATATATGTTCATCATCTTTCTCCACTGAGGACAATGATACTGTTCTGCTTATAGTTCTAGTCCCAGCACCTAGTACAGTGTGCCTGGTGTGTTGTAGACACTTGATGAATATTTGTTTAATGAATGAATGAATGTTCAATGAAAAGTTGTTAAACGAAGGCATGTGGAAATCAGGATGCTATTTTTCCAGAACATCAAAACTGAAACAATCCCTCAATTCACAAACTGAACTCATTTTCCAGGATGCATCACAGAAAGATTAATTCAGTAAGTCACATCCACAAATGAAAGTCTAATGTCCCAATGAGGGACACTAATATTAAAGTTGGTCCAATTGGGTCTGAGCAGAGTAATTTTTAACTTCAAGATTCATGTTTTCAGGAAGATTTTGATGAGATGTAGGTAACTTACAACTAGCTCCCACAAATCTGGAACGCCTAAACTTTCATCCAAGTTGGATTTCTTCAAGTTACTAGGTCATTGGAACTTTGTCCTTTTCAATCCTTACACCCCTTCTAACAACTTTGTGTGAAAAGAATATGTATCATTCTTCATTCTCTAGCGACTTCTGGATTAATATAACAGCATTGAGTAAATAATCAGACCACTGACTTGAAAAGCAAACTAAAAAGGACTTAAAAGGTTTAAGAACTAATCTTAATTCTACCATGTTAAGACAGGAACTTGAATTAAGTAGCTCACTGTTTAGCAACAATAGCGCCATTACTCTCCAGTAAAAAGGGTGAGGCAAAATACTAGTTGTGGAGGTGGGGATGGGGTGGTACCTTTACAACCAGAAGCTTAAACAGCTTAGATTAGTGGTTCTCAGAGTGTGGTCTGGGAGTCCCTGCAATCCTTCTAGGGAATCTGAGAGGTCAAAACAATTTTCCCGGTACTAAGACATTACAGGTTGAGTATCCCTAATAAAAAAATCCAAAATCTTTTTGAGTATCATCATGAGGCTCAAAGGACATGTACACTGAAGCATTTGATTTTAGGATTAGGGATGCTGAACCAGCAGGTACATAGTGCAAATATTCCAAAATCTGAGACATTTCTGGTCCCAAGCATTTTCTATAAGGGATACTCAACCTGTATTTGACCTTTTCACACTCATTCTCTCACAAGTGTACAAGAGTTTGCTGGACACCACACAGTATGTGAAATCCTGAGAGATTAAATGCAGGAGCATATATGAGAATGTCTTCTATAAAGCCAAACATTAAGGAGATTTGCAAAAATGTAGAACAATGCCACTCTTCTAATTGTTCTGGAAAAGTTATTTTTCATTTAAAAATGTTATTTATGTTAGTTTGTAATGGGTTATTTTTAAACGAAGTAGTTTCAGGATTTAATTTCTAATATGGTAAATACTGAGTTATAACCCACATAAACAAAACCTCTTTGGGGTCCTGAATTTGGAAGTGTAAAGGAGACCAAAAAGTTTAAGAATTGCTGCCTTAGATATACTAGTGTACCTTCTGTGTAAGAAACGTCACAGCTTCCAGTGCTGTGGTCAGGCATTTTGCTCCCTGACCCTAACGCAGCCTTCGGATGTTACTGAATCTGCACTAAGCTAGTAACTAGCAGGGGACTCCCACTACTTAAGCAAGTTCAGAGCTTTTCTAGGAAATATCCCTCCCACCTCTCCCAGGATAAATCACTATTTGTGAAGCCCGCAACCCCACTGTCATGAACCAGCCGTACAGCCAAGTAGGATGTTAAACTACAAATAAAACAAACTTTCTGTTGACATTACGTTAACATGGTTAGACATTGCCACTAAATTTGATGGGTATGTGATGGTCTGGATTAAAATATAAGCTATGTGGCATATACAAAATTCATTTTGAAGATACCTGAAAAAGACAGGGATTCATCCTCTAGCTGAAACTGAGGACAGATTTTTTTTTTTTTTTTTTTACCAAACTTTTGGGGGGATTTGGAGCTGGTTGACCAGAAATGTACAAAATTCTCTCTGGGGGTTATTGGGATGAGAGGACAGTTCAAAGAGATAATAACCATCTAGAACATTTGAAACTGAAGTTATAAGACCTATATTACAACTGATTACAAAAAAACATGCCACATATAAAAATGCCAGAGGTGGGAAAGATACTCACTAGTTTCAAATATTATATCCCCTCCCTCCAACTGAAGCAGCCCCACTCCAAGCTGCTTAAGAAACTTCATGTAACATGCCTTGGAATGAATAGCGTCAGCAGGGGTTTGTTTAGTGATGGTTAATAACTCTCAAACAATACAGGGCAGGCCAGCTAGTTTATTCGAATTGAATCTAAACCTTAGATCTCTGGCTTAACAATAACATAAAAAACCTTTATAGATACAATAAATCTTGTGTTAAATCAGAGATGGTTTAAATCAGTCTTATAACTTCTAACATTCTGAGCTGGCAACTACAGCATAACAAATGTTCAATATAGTTACAAAACCACATTTGATTTTCCTTGGCTACCGAATCTTGAACAGATCTGAAAAATGCACTGTTTTACAAAGGCGTTTACTATATACCCACTGCTGTCAGTCTCAAGTAATTATGGTTTCTTCATCCCCCAGGAACACTTCTAAATGAGAGGGATTTTCCTTTGATCTGCTTGCCTTGATGGGTATTGTAAGAACTCAGTTAAGTTTAAAGAATGAAGGTAAGATTAACTGAGATGCCAAGAAAAGTTTTTATTGCAAGCACAGTGAGCAGAAAGAGATGTCTTCTCACACAAAAGTGGCCGCAAGGTCTGCCATTAACTAAATCTCTTTGATAACCCTTCATTGGTTTAAAGCACATGAATTAGCTTCTTGCTATCAGGTGTACATCATTTCTGCCATGTGGGACATTTTCTTGGGAATATACAAGTAATACTCCATGTAGCCTGATAGGTCCTCAATAGTCACATCATCCACATAGACTCGAGCTTGCTCAGAACAGGAGCGGGGAGAGCCAGACAGAGTTCTGGTGTGCAGTGACTGAGAGTAGTCCTCAAGCGTTGATGTGCGTTCTGGAGCCAGGGGAGGGACATTCTGCAGGCCTGAAAAGGAATACACTTCCATATCATGCCACCTCTTACACTGGCATTCCTTGCCTATGCATGCACATGGCTTGCCCTGGTTTAGCTTGGAAACGGATCGAAAGTCAGAGAGATCGCTGGCTTTGAGACTTGCTTGGGAGACTTGGGTAGTGTCAGAGGAGTCTTCTTTCTTACTCTCTGATGGGAGCCTTGGAACCGAAGTTCTCAAAGGCTCAAGGACTGCCCCTGTGTGATTAGCATCAAGAGAAGTAGAGCTTTCTCCTGCACTGAACTCTTTAGGGGTTGAAATTCCCAGCCCACTGCTGCCATCAGGGGAGTCAGTCTGGCTTTTGTGCTTGAGTTGGCTGCTGGAAGAAGATGCTATTGTACTGCAATGTATAAACTTTGGAGGATGAAGGACAGGAGACTTAGAACGTCGACGACGCTGAGTTCTCACTGCTCCTCGTGAAGACTTCCTTGTAGACCTAAGGGGAAAAAAATATACAAGAAGATGTTGGGATACAGAGCCCTCTTAAAAAGAACTTGAGAAGAAGTGGAAACTTACTTCCTCTCAGATTTGAGTCTAAGGTCATAAATTTTCCCCAAGAGAAATTTCCCCCAAGAGATGTATCTGCTTCCATATTCAAGCTGCGTAAGTCTTTGTCTCAAAAACTTCAACATCTTCGTATTAGCAAGCTATAGAAATAGGTGACATAAGGGTAGTTTTAATTGACTCACTTGGGATAAATAGTTGGTGCAGAACACCTGCCCTGTCCCAACCCCAGGCTTGGGAACCATAACAGTGGGTCTGGGGGAAGCACCTCACAAAGACAATTTAAACTGATGCTGTAAAGCCTAAAGGTTGTGCCCTAAACATGAATGTAGCTGCTTCAGTACCACTGTGAGGCTAATGCTACAAATTGCCAGACTGTGCCATTACTATTAAATAGAGGAGCAGATTTATGATTCATTTCTACCACTGGTAACAGCTGACAAAAAAACAAACATTTAGAATCCCCGAGGTTTTCAGATACTCGACATACTATATAGCTATTTATAAAACATTTAAGTAAATGAAAGAACAGAATGAAGAAAAAATAGAGACTCAAAACTACCAAGCAAATTAGACAAACAAATCAAACAGGACTCCAAGAAATAAAACATTTTGTATTTGGAATTAAACTAAATGGGTAGCCTAAATAGCAGAACACAGTAGTCCCCTCTTATTTGTGGTTTCACTTTCCACAGTTTCAGGTACCCGTCAACTGTGGTCAACAGTGGTCCGAAAATATTACATGGAAAATTCCAGAAATAAACAATTCATAAGTTTTAAATTGCACACCATTCTGAGTAGTGTCACGAAACCTTGCGATGTCCCACTTCATACCATCTGGGATGAGAATCATCCCTTTGTCCCGTGTCTCCACAGTGTATACATTACCTGCCCATTAGTCACTTAGTAGCTGTCCTGGTTATCAGATCAACTGTGACAGTATTGCAGTGCTTGTGTTCAAGGAACCCTTATTTTACTCAACAATAGCCCCGAAGTACAAGAGCGGCAATGCTGGCAATTCAGATATGCCTAAGAGAAGTCGTAAAGTGCTTCTGCTATGGTGTGAATATGTCCCCTAAAAGTTCACGTGTTGGAAACTTGGTTCCCAATGCAGCAGTGTTGAGAGGTGGGACCCTTGGGAGGTGACTGGGTGATAAGGGCTCTGTCTTCATGAATGGATTAGGGTTACAGAGGAAGTGGTTTAGTTATCATAAGAGTGGGTCTGTTATAAAAGCTATTTTGGCCATCTCTTGTGAGTCCCCTTGCCATGTGATGCCCTTCACCATGTTATGACACAGCAAGAAGGCGCTCACTGGACACTGGCACCATGCTCTTGGACTTCCCAGCTCCAGAACTGTAAGTAATAAATTTCTTTTCTTTAAAAAAGTACCCAGTCTCAGGTACTCAATTACAACAATAGAAAAAGGCAATTTCCTTTAAGTGAAAAGATGAGAGTTCTGGACTTAATAAGGAAAAAAAAAATCATATGCTGAGGTTGCTAAGATCTACAAAAAACTGAATCTTCTGTCCATGAAATCGTTAAGGAAAATGAAATTTTTGATCATTTTGCTGTTGCACCTCAAACTGCTGAAGTTACAGCCATAGTGCATGATAGGTCCTTAGTAACAACGAAAAAGGCATCAAATTTGTGGGAGGAAGACATGAACAGAAACATGTTCCGACTGACAGCAAATGGGTTCAGTACTATCTGCAGTTTCAGGTATCCACTGGACGTCTTAGAACGGATAAGAGGCGGCTACTGTACACACAGCTAAAGAATGAATTACTGAACTGGAAGATAAATCTAAATTATTTACAACAGAGGTCAGCAAATTGCAGGCTATGGATCAAATTGGGCCCCCTAAATGTTTTTGCGCAGCCCATGGGCACTGCCCTAGTGGGCTGGCACTGTGAGCCACAGAGACCAGACTGGGGTGTTCCCCTGCCCCGGTCCCTGTTCTCCCTGTCAGCCTTCCTGGTCAGTGGACATGTTGCACCACTGTCCAGGACCCACACTGGCTACCATCTACATGCTGGGTCTTTGCTGCTATCAACTGTTGAGCACTGAGCGACAGAATCTCAGTTTGAGACTACACTGGTGCTAGGATCTCTAGAGAAGAGAAGAGCATGGTGGGATCTGGGTGTCACTGGGACAGAGTAAAACTGATCCTGGTGCTGCCCCTTACCCAACCACTCCTCCAAGCCCTCCCCTCAGCCTATTCATTTCATTCTGGGACTGTCTCAGCAAGTGAATACAAAGTGTGTTCACCAGCCAGAATGGCCTAACCCCAGGCAAAAAGGGTAGGGTAAAAGTTTTCTCTCTTATATAACTACTTACATAATATCCTTGGATTTGGCCTCTTGGCCTCCAAAGCTAAAATATTTACTATATGGCACTTAACAAAAAAAGTTTGCTAAGAGGCAATACAGAGACATGGATTTGGAAAAAATATAAAAATTAAGAGAGATGGAAGCCAGAACAAGTCTGTGGTCTCTGAAGGAATGAATATAGAGAATGGAGGACTGTTTTTTGAAGAGCTAATGACTGAGAAATTTTCTGATTGATGAAAGAAGAGAATCTATAAATACAGGAAGCACGCTGGAGCAAGATAAAAACAAATCCACATCTAGACACACTGTAGCAAAACTGTAGAATAGCAAAATCACAGGAAGATCTTAAAAGCAGCCAGAAGCTAATCAGATTATTTCCAAAAGCACAGTAATTAGATTGAAAGTAGGCTTTCAATATCAACATGATGAAGCCAGAAGACAATGAACTATACCTTCAAGTGCTAAAACTGCCAACCTATAAATATGATTTCAGGTACATCAAATCTTTCAAAAACAAGAATGAAGTAAAGATATTTTCAGAGAAGTCAAAGCAAAGTGTAGCCGGCCCCATGTGTCCATGGGTTCTACATCTGTTAATTCAACTAACCCCAGTCAAAAATATTCTGGGGGGAAAAAAAATTCCACAAAGTTCCAAAAAGCAAAATTTGAATTTGCCACGCATCAAGTACTACACTGAATCCACATGAATGAAATGTGTAGGCACCGTATTAGGTATCCTAAGTAACACAGAGATGATTTAAAGTACACAGGAGGATGTACGTAGATTATATGCAAATACCATGCCATTTTGTATAAGAGACTTGAACAACAACAGATTTTGGCAAGGGCGGGGTAGTCCTGGAACCAATCCAATCCCCAGGGATACAGAGGGACAACTGTATATTTACAAATATGACATAACTAACTCCAGGGGGGCACCATTCAAATGTATTCTATGTGGATTTATACAATGCAGAAGCCCTATTTCCTAATAACAAGCCATTACTAAAGAAACTAAGAAGAAAGTAAATGATCCTATATGGAAAGTCTGGGGTGCAAAAATGGTGAACAAAGTAACTGTGAACAAGTAGAAAAGTCTAAACAAACACTGTCCAATAGTAACAAAACTTGGTTTGTGAGACTAAAAGAAGTAACAAAATTAAATATTGGGTAACTATATCATGCAAGTCAGGTAAAAGGATTCTAACAAGTAGGGTTAAAATACTATTAATTTGCACCCCCCCACCCCATCTCTACAAAACAAATAGAAAAATTAGCCAGGCGTGGTGGCATCCACCTACAGTCCCAGCTACTCAGTAGGCTGAGTGAAGAGAATCGCTTGAGCCCAGGAGTTTGAGGTTGCAGTGAGCTGTAATGAAGCCACTGTACTCTACCCCAGGCAACAGAGTGAGATAGTCTCAAAGGAAAAAAAAAAAAAACTACTGATTTTTGTCTTTGTTAAAAGCCTGCATGGTAAAATCAAGGCTAACTACTAAAAGAATAGAAACAAGTGTACAATTTCCAAACACGTGAAGAGAAAAAAACAAAACCCTGTCAAGCCATTTTTAAAACAAATTTTTAAATTAAAAAAAAACTTTTTTAATTCCTGGGGAAAAAGGAAAGGTAGAAAGAAAAAAGAAAAAAAATTAGGAAAAAGCAGGAGAAATAACATAAAGTACAAATGGCAGAATCAAGTCCAAATGTATCAATAATCAAAATAAAAGTAAATGCACTCAATTCAGCAGTTAAAAAGCTGAACAGAATAAATAAAACGGAACACAATAAAACCTACCCATATGTTATTTTCATGAGACTACCTAAAACTTAAGAACAAAGAACGGTTGGAAAAAAATAGAAAAAGATACACTAGGCAAACACTAACTAAAAGAAGACTGGATTAGCTATATTAATTCCAGACAAAGTAGACATTAAAACAAAAGCCATTATGAGGGATTAAGAATGTCACTACATAGTGTAAGTTTCAATTCACCAGGAAGAAAACATTCTAAACTTGAATGAATCTAGGCTGTATGAACCTAACAAAATAACCTCAAAATATATAAAGCAAAAATATAAAACTTAAATATAAATGCCTTTTTTATTAAAGAAATGAATGAAAGAAAAAGGCTTATGACCTTAACAAGTTCTTTAACAGACTTAAGCTGCCTCATTTAAAAAATGAGAAAATTGGATAGGATTATACTAAGGTCCCTTACACACAGCTTAATATGTTTTTCAGGAACAAAAAGGTTTCATGGCTGAAACAGGAACTGACCAAAAGTAGTTACAATGAGAATAATAAGGATGATAGAATAAAATATAGCATCATTCGTTCAGTAATGCAAATCACAGGCACTATGTTATTCACCTGATGTCATCCATATTTATAACATTTTGCCAGAATTTGCCATTAAAGGGGTCTGTTGTGTTCTAGAGATTATATGACAGTGTGGCAGTCAGGAAGCCTTCATGCCAGTCTTGGGGTTCCAGCTGTCTGAGCTTCCTTCATTCTGCAAGTGATTTCTTAGTCAGGTATTTACATGTTGGTATTCTCCACTATACAGTCATCTCTTGGAGGGCGAGGACCACCCCGTATTCATGTCTGTATCTCAGTCTGCCTTGCATAATGCTTTGCAGATTGTAGGAA